ATTTTCGTTAAATTTTATTTATTTATTTATTTATTTTTATTAGTTTTATCAAAGAGTATAGAATTGCAAAAAGGTCAAACTGCCCTGATTGTCTATGCAAGCAATAAAGTTTAAAAAGTACCACCACGCGATAGGTTCGAATTTGAATAGGTATGTTTATTTTGAAAGATGCCCTCTAGCTCGTGGTGTAATTTTTGAGATAGGATTGCGTTCCAACGAAAGCCCAACAGTCAGATCTCTTTGCAGTTCTATACTCTTTGGTTTTATTGCGATTCTAAAGCAATTTTTAGATCTACTGTATACTAACGCAACGGCATCGCTTTATTTGTAACATTATTGACTAAATTGATGAAGATGATAATGATGATGATGGTGATAGTGATAATTATATTGATGATTCTGAATTATTGTGGTGACGATAATGAAATAAATATACGCAGCAGAAAATATGAAATAAACTATACACAGTGCATTCTACATTCTATTGTAACTGCTTAAAAAAAACCACAATAACAATGTTGTACTAACGTAACATTTAGGTTCTTGAGTGACTCACCGTCGGATTTATACATTAGTGTAAGACATCAACGAACACATGGTTCACTTTCTAACGATGTAGAAGATACGGAAACTGATGAATTGGAAAAATTCACTCCAATGCGTTACGGCATTTCCTTCTTCACGTCCCGATGTTATTATAGAAGTTCTTTAGATACATCATGGCATTACGAAGGATGTGAGGTAAATTACGTAGAGTTGTATTTGAATACCAATTTTATGCTTTCTCGTAAGTTGTAGTGTATATGCCGTTGCAAAAAGGAGAGAGAAAAAATTTACTCCAATTGGTTCAAATTAATCACAAATATTTATCCGCCTTACAACCTCCGGTAAGGTGGGTTTCAGGCAGGTAGACAGATTCAAATTTAGGGTTCAGGTTTCCAGTCCCATTTGGGGTAATTTATTAGGCATCTGCTGCAGATTCTTTGTTTTCAATTGTATATACATCCCTATGAATATTGCTCATAGATAGCTGATACTGTATTATATTTCAGGTAGGTGAAAATTCAACCCGTGATACAACACAATGCTTTTGCTACCGTCTTGCTCCGGCCGAGGAAGCCAGTGAGACTAGAGACTACGCAAGCCGAAGACGTAAGCGAAGCGTTAACGTGCTTCCCGAACAGACTAAAAACCTCGTAACGATTGGCGGAGGTTTTTCCGTACCAATGAACTCGATTGATTTGAGTGATTCGGCATTTACAAAACTTAGCGAAAATCCGGTGGTCTTTGTGTTTATGACGTGTTGCCTCTGTGGGTATGTCGTCATCATTGTATGGGCACGCAAAGAAGACCAACGAGATGTTTCAAGGGTAAGGTTTATTCGAAGTATCTCGTGCCCTTAATACAATAACAGTAGAGATGGCAATGCAATAACAATAGCCATAGCCATCCATGACTGCTATCATAGCCATAAAGCGGTAGTTTATATATCCCTCTCTTAATTGTTGGTGGCCATCATTTTCACAAGTTGTTTAGGTCATGACAGTAACCATAACAAATTTAATTGTTGCACCAAGTTTATATAGTTGGTGACTTTTACAGCCATATTGACACACAGGGAACATTTTTTTCATCTCGGCAACAAAAATCAATATCATAAAAGCTACCTTTACAGTAACAAATTACTTACAGATATTGTTCTTGTTTATATGGCATTTTTGTCAATTCAATTGAATGTAAAACTCGGGAAATACCCTAAATAAAATATATCAAGTAATAAAGTTAATTGAATCAATTGAACAAAGATTGAAATAATAATAGTAATAATAATTATAGGCCTAATAATTTTAGATATTTTATGAAATTAACTACATAATAATGCTATAATGTTATATCGATTGGATTGGATTGGATTTATTTGGTGTAAACACCAAGGATAGCCCACGAAAATCTGAAAAAGACTTACTTCCAGTGGGGTCATTCAGGTGGGGATTGAGCAGTCCACCGGGAGAGAATCCCCTACTCTTTTCCGAATAGTGTACAGCGTTCTTTAACGTGCACACGGGCCATAATGCACATAGGAACAACGGCTGAAACGTCTCATTCGGAAGACGGTGTGCTATCGTCGCTTGCATCTCAACCCTCTGGTTGAAACACAAGGAGAGCAGGATGGGATTTGGACTGGGGACCTACAGATCTCCACTGTTCAGCGCACACATAGCTAAGCTGCTCTCATTAGATTAGTTCAATATACTGCCTTTGGCGCCATACTTTGGTAATAAACTTTACACAACATTGTTTGTTTGTAGGCTGGTGTCACTCCTATGTGCGATAACGACCCGCGACATAGATATAAGTACGAGATTACTATATTCACTGGCGTTCGACGCGAATCCGGTACTACGGCCCACGTCTCCTTCATCCTGAATGGTGAAAAGAGTGAGACTGGGATACGTGTGGTAAAAGATAAAAAGCGACCTATTCTGCAACGGAGTAATATCGATTCATTCCTTATGACAGTGCCAAAGGATTTGGGAACTCTGGTGCATCTGCGCATTTGGCATGATAATTCAGGTGAAAGTCCGAAATGGTTCCTCAGCCGTGTGTCCGTCAAAGATATTCAATCAAATAGGACGTATTACTTTATGCTAGACAAATGGCTAGCTGTTGAGGAAGATGACGGTCAGGTAATATTTTTAACTATATAATTTTTTGACTTCCTTTCAAGTGGTCTCTTTTCTGCTACTTATTTCACTTTTTCTTCCTTTATTAGACTTTTTCCACACATAAAATGACGTTCACATAATTAATATTTCATAATAATGTCATAACAATAATAAAATACAAATTAGAGGTAAAATGTGAGCTGCCAAGAAGTATAAAGCAGGTATCAGGTATCTCCACCACCTACCAAACATCTCAATTTATGCTGTTAGGATAAATCTCAATTTAATTTACATGAAGAAATAACTGGGTTTTTTTTTTGTAATTTGTACACAAGACAGTAAGTTGTTAGACCCATTCTGGTACAGTAGGCCTTCTTGTTCATCTTCACAATACATTTAAGACCTTCGAAAATTGCGCTTAATTACATTTAGTTGCATACTCATAGTCTTTCAGTTCGGTTGGAAACATATGATGATACATTTTTTTTTTGTTCCAGCACCTAAGTTGTGGAACGACTTACCAAATTTTATAAGGTCACCTTCGTCTTTGGTCCTTTTAAACTCCCGACTTACTACTTTTTTTTTTTCAAAATTCGAATCTTTCTTGTTCTTGTTTAATTTTGTTTCCTTTCCCTTGTTTTGACACTGGGTAAAGGCGCATAGAGACATTGCACTTTAGTATGCACTATAGAAAGAGAAGGCCATTACCAATCATTATTTCGTGACTCATCATGATCACTTCACACACACAACCACTCCCTTCAAACAGATAATGAAATAAAAGGTTTATAAGGAAATGAAAGGAGTGAAAATTTATTGTAAAAATTGTGCTGTTATGAAATGATAACCATAACGAAACTTAAAAGTGGTCTATTTGTTATTTTGTAAATCATTTGTATTATGTATTTTATTATTGAATAAATGTGGCTTTGCCAGAAAAGATAGAAAAAAAAGGTTATGAAATTCATGTGAAATTTTAAGGAGGCATTTCAACGAAAACCACTAAGTTCTTATTTCACTTAAAGTTACGCTGTATGTGTCAGTATCATGAAAACACTCTAAATATATATCAAACGTTAAGTTTTCGTTTAACAGGTTCAAACATTATCATTTTCCAATGATACAGAGATCGAAACATTTGCTTATACAGTACAAAGTTTTGTTAAGAAAATACATAAATTGATTAATGGCAAATTTAATGGTCTATACAAAAAAAGAGCTTTAATTCCTTTTTTCTTTTGATTGAAATCTTATGAAGTCAGTAATTTATTATGTTTTGTTTTTAGATTGAGCGGATTATTCCAACTGCAGGACACAGTGAGCTGACAAGCTTCGGGCATTTATTTCACAGTCGGACAAGGCGCAATCTCTCCGACAGTCATCTATGGGTTTCCGTACTAATGCGTCCACCGAAGAGCAACTTCACCAGATGTCAACGTACTACTTGCTGTCTATCACTTCTCTTTTGCACAATGATGGCCAATATTCTCTTTTACGGTGTTGATGTTACTGAGGGTAAAACATCTGTGTCTTTTACATTCGGACCATTTTCGTTTTCTATTGCACAACTTGTAGTCGGCATCATCAGCAGCTTGATGGTATTCCCCATTAATATGATAATTGTTCAGCTGTTTCGGCTTTCACGTCCAAGAAATAGAACAATTCGCTGTTCTAAAAATAGGCACGTTGAAAAGCCAACGTGTAGACCTCAAAGTGTCAGCACCATCAGTAGTTCATCGTCGATGAAGGAACTGAAAGCTCAAAAAGGTATTTTCGAATCGAGTATTGGACAAGGACAAGAAAATCGTAATACAAATATTAAGCCTGTAAAAGAAGGTGAAATTGGTATGTCAAAAATCGATATCCAAGTGAATTCAAAGACGGAAACTACGAAAGGAAAACGCAAATCATTACCTCTGCCGTGGTGGTGCCAGATAATCGCCTGGGTCTTGTCTTGGATGACAATTGGCACAGCATTTTGGTTAACTATTGAAGTAGCGGGAAAATTTGGACCAGAAAAAGCAACAGAGTGGGTGACAACTATGACAATTTCATTAATTCAGGATATCTTTATTTCGCAGCCAATAAAGGTACGATTCATGAACAGTTTTCGTCTTGCAACATTTTTTGACGTAATTTATAATTAATATTTCTTCTTGTATCGTATATTGTTGAAAGTGACAAGAAATATGTATAGAACTAAAAGAAAGAAAGAAGAAAGATACAGGTATAAACAGTAACAGAAGAAGGAATAAAGGACGTTTAACATTTGATCTATATCGCGTAGCATAATAATTTTGGACCAAGAAAATAATAGTACTGGTTTTAATAATTTTAACTGCCAAAATGCAAGTTTGCATTCAAATCCTTGAAATGTACATATTGCTACGTTCTGCCTTCTGTAGTGTTTACTCCTCATATTTTTTTAATGTATTCTTCTTTGTAGGTGCTCCTCTTGGCTACATTTTATTCACTCGTCATTAAAAGTCCAGACAAAGAAGATGACGACCTACCACGAGTTAAACTAGAGGCAGACGAAGAATGGTTACACGAAAATGAAAATAATGCAGATCTGTCAGACCCTTCTAAGCTTGAAGAGTTCAATAAAAAAAGGCAAATGGATGTAGCCTGTGCCCTCCCGCCAGACAGGGATGAAATCGAAGATCAAAGGAAACTGAGGTTATTTTTGCCGTTTCTTTAGGCACATATTTGTGCTAAGCATTGCCAAAAACAAATGCTGTCTTACCTGTAGATGACAATCCCTTTCGCAAGACAAAAAAAACATACCCATATGATGCTTTACAAAAAATAAATCTCAATAAGTGAAGAGTGGAGAAAAAAATCTGCATATATATATATATACTGTCTCTTATACACATCTAGATGTGTATAAGAGACAGTATTTACAGTATATGGATAGTAAATTGAGAGTATAGTATAATTTTTAATTATAGCATAAATATTATAATTTTTACGAATTATTTACTGTCTTCGAGTTTGCCGCTAGCGTGGGGACGCTAAGCGAATCTTTTACTATAAATATTTATGTATCACGTGTGTAATATGCTAACACACACATATATATACATATATAAATGTGATCAAAATAAAGATTTGTAAATTAAATTTATGTACAATTACATGGTCTAAAGTCTTTAAAATACTTCTCTCAATAATGTAGATTAAAATATTTCATATTCATTCCGATAGTTGACTTACTTAACATTTGCTTTTCATTAGTTGTGTTTAACAGAAGATGGCAACTTAAGTTCAAATTCGTGTTTTAGATAATGCTACCATTGTTAATAAATCCTTTTGTTAATTATTTATTGAATAGTAATTGTTGTAATGGTAATGGTTCGAATGTTCGTTGTACCATTTTAGGTTTAAAGAAATCAAGATGCATGGAATTATTAAGGAAATAACGGCGTATATAATATTTCTATGCTTATTAATGGTGGTCGCATTTGGAAACATTGGTAGAGAAGAGTATGGTCTCCGCTCGTCAATGGTTGACACATTCATTAAAGCATCTTACAATGGCAAAATGCAATTCACTAAGGTAACTGAATACAATGACCTTATGAAAATATTCTTACACTAGTTGATGAAAGGTTTTCACTACGTTGTTTGCTTTATCCATCGTTAGGCAGTTGGCCAAGTATTCTATTTAAGTAAACTGAAGTAAAATTATGCAGCTTATAATTTTAAGTCTAGATTGGACTCGATTGATTACGTTATAGGTCATACAAGAATTGAAACATAGGCTGATGAAGATGTCATATTATTGTATTTGTACAGTTTTCGTTAACAGAAACAATTTTTTTACACAGATTTCGTCTCGGGATTATTTTTGGAACTACACAATCAATGTGTTCATCCCCAGTCTGCATGCCGGAGTTCAGTACAATGGTGCAAAGGACCCGAACAGTGCTTCGGAATATCTAATAGCTGATCGAATCTCGTTAATGCCTACAAGCGCCAGACTTAGACAGTTGCGTGTTCAAAGAGGTAAATGAATAATAAGAACCTTTGAAATCGTCCATGCATGTCCGTCCGTGCATCTGTGACGCTGAAGTTAAAAGTCTATAAACAAGCATACTTAAATTTTCCAAACACTTGCTGGTTTTTGAACTTTTGCATACATGTATTATTGGTCATGTAATTGCCCTATTGCTAGAAAACATTATTGAATAAAATACACGAGAACTTTATTACCCCAGGCTCCATCCAACATTAATAATCAAGCGACAATTAGAGGAAATCAAAAAGTCCCTAACATTAATTCCAGAAATAAATTTTAAAATGTGTTCAGGATTTAATGGCCGTCCTATGTACCATCACAAGCAACCGGCAGAAGTCTAATAGGCCGATTTTTTTACCAGTGGCGGCAAAGAAACTTCTGGCCTTCGCAGAGTTTTGGTTATTATTGTCATCATCCTCATCAATATTATTGCAGTTGTGATTTTGGTTATGATCGCGATTGCTGCTGCTGCTGTTGTTTCTGTTGTTGTTTATCTTAACACTGTAATTTGTTTGCTCATAGATATTTGTACTGTTCCCTCACCAATGGATACAGTTATCGATAGATGTCGGACCGAGTATAATCCAGGTTCTGAAGAATCAAGACATTTTAAAGAAAACTGGACTCTAATCAACCAAACACGTAAGATACATACATACATACATACATACATACATACATACATACATACATACATACATACATACATACATACATACATACATACATACATACATACATACATACATACATACATACATACATACATACATACATACATACATACATACATACATACATACATACATACATACATACATACATACATACATACATACATACATACATACATACATACATACATACATACATACATACATACATACATACATACATACATACATACATACATACATACATACATACATACATACATACATACATACATACATACATACATACATACATACATACATACATACATACATACATACATACATACATACATACATACATACATACATACATACATACATACATACATACATACATACATACATACATACATACATACATACATACATACATACATACATACATACATACATACATACATACATACATACATACATTAATATAAAATCAAGTTTGCTGCATAGCACCATAAATACAATATAAAAGTAGATAAATAATATGTTGTTACAGTACCCAGCAAACCCAATTTGAATAGTATTTATTATAATTTCAAACTGCGACCTTTTTTAGCTAAACCATAGTGGTGTTTGAGGTTCAGATCTGTGCGTATAACCTGGTCTCTGTGGTCTAAGATGTATGAAACTCGCCTCGATATCTAGAAGTTGCATTTTCGAATCCCGCCAGAGACACCTTTTTTCATACAACTGAATAAAGGAAATTTTCTTTTTTGGTATAGGCAAAATTATACATTTAACAAAAGTACAATGGTTTAACACAAAATCTTATAAGAAAAAAAGAAAAAGAAACAATATAAAAATAAGATGTTGGTTGGTTTTTATCAATTACAAGTTTAGTCTAACCCACAAAAGTCCAATCAAAGTATTTTGCATTTTGTTTTTGTCTAGATCACAAAAACGCAGTTGGATTGGAAAAGGTATGGAGATATAAGACTTGGTTTGAACTTGGATCACTACCCTACTGGGGGAAGTATACCGTCTATGGGGGTGGTGGCTACGTAGCTGAGCTTGGACACAAGGTCGATGATGCCTGGAAAATTGCTGAGTATTTACAATCGACGAAATGGGTTGATCAACTCACTAGAGCTGTTTTCTTTGAATTTTCAGTCTTCAACCCACCATCAAATCTTTATGGCGTCGCTTACATGATTGCTGAATTCTTACCAAGCGGAGGTAGGCTATGTAGGATTTCTTTTTTAAACTTTAAATAACCTATGCACTAATATGACAATTTAGGCCTACTTTTTGAAAAATATCAATCTGAATTAAAAATTAATTACATAAGTCCTACAGTATATGAAGCAGAAAATAATGGTTATGGATAAACATTTTCGGCATGTTAGAATGTCAGTTTTACTGGTCTACGCTTATGTGTGGTGGAAAGATATTGCGAAAAATATGACCAGTTACACACACCTCAAATTGGATTAAAACCATGGATTTTTTTTTTTTAATTTGAGAAAAATAAAAATATAATTAAAAATAATTACTGTACCGACATTGCAATATTAGACTTATGACTGACAATCAACAGACGGCCGGGCGTCGCATCGTCTAGCGCTCACAGAAAACACAGGTAGATTCGTTGGCCGACGGTCGCTAAGTACCGTCGTATGACGCAGTGAGTGTCCAGTTTAATAGTGTGCGAAATCAGTTGCTTCTAATTCTAATTTCTAACGAAGCTCTAGCTTCCCAGTTGTTAAACCGTCTGTAGACAGCAGAGGTACCGGGTTTGAATCGTGGTTGGCGAAATGTTTCACACTCGTATATTCTTTAACGCTCGGCATTTATTATCAATCAATCAACTATAATTTCGGACGTACATATGCCTATCCATATAACAAAGAAAGATATCTTTAACCTAAATTATAATTCTAGTATTACCGCTATACGGTTTTGAGTATTTCATTGTATTTTCCTCTTTATTCTACCACATTGGTGCAAAAGAGTGTGAAATCAGATGATTCTAATCGAATTTGAATTTCCAATAATACCGGTATTCAGATAAAAATCAACAAAACTCGAACGGAAATCCCGGTGGCCTGTTGGCTAAGTGTCTGGATAGAAAGTTGGGAGAAACTTTTGTCACTATCTCAGGTAACTATTTTTTAAAGTTCAACTTTTATAATATAATTTCATTTTTTATTACAAACAGGTGCTGTGGCCTACTACAACTTCCAGCCCGTGTTGATTGACCGCTACTCCAGCGTTAATAGTTTCTTGATCATAATGTGTGAAGTGTGTTTTGGCCTTTTTATTCTCTGGTTTCTTGTCAAGGAGTTCATGGTCTTTAAGAAAAACAAGAATGTGTATTTTAAAAATGTCAGTAATCTGTTGGAGTTCACAATTTTGTCTTTATGTTTGACGGCGTTCGTTGTGTTTATCTACCGCTACTTCGTCATCAAGAAGCTCCAGTCGGAGCGAGAGGAAAACATCAGGGGATTTATGAACTTCCAATTTTTTGGACAGTTGGATCAGGTAGATAGCTATATTTTTAATATTGAGGTTACCCTATAACGATCTGGCGTCCCTTTGGT